TTTTTTTTTTTCATTATAGAGAGCCTAGAAAAGAAGGAATAGGAGCAGACATCAAGGCACAGGCTTTGTTTTGGTCATCCCCTCTTACCTACGCTGATCCAAAGTGCATTTCTGGTGAGCGGGTCATGTCGTGCACCTCTTGATTGCACCCTCATTTAATAGGCAAAGTTTAAATTGTTCTTAGCTTCGGTAAGGACTGCCAAGACGGTCTCGCGCTCTCATTTTTTAAATCCTTTTCCGTGCTTTTTCCCTATCATTTCGTCGCTGTGCTAAAATATCAGAAGTTTAATAAGTGCAATGTGGCCTTGCGAGCGGCCCTGAAATTTGTGCAATTCGACAACGCAATGCTATTTGGCTGTCGAGAGCACTTTGCGTGGCATGACGAGGAATAGATAGCGCACCCTGCGTGAATGACACGGTAGACAACCTTAAGGAAGGGGACACAAGCGAACCCGCAGTGTACGTTGACGGTTATATCTTGTTTCCCTCTTCTTCCTTGTGGGTACCGACCACGGATTTGTATGGCTTACTTACTATCATTCCAGGAGCGGATGGCCTTTAGACGGTGGGACTGTAGCCCAAGGCCGTTAAGACTATATGTGTTTATTGGCATTCGCATGCGCACTACACGATGAAAGAAGCAATCGCAATATAGAGTAAATCTGCACAGTTCTTGTTTTATTGTCTCTGAACTCTTCAAATGGTTCACAATAAGAATGACACAAAACTTTCCCGGGAATGTCCCTCTACCTCTGATGAGCTCGCTCCTAATTTGCTCTGAGGGCGATCCGACAGTTTTGACAGTGGTAGCAGCGGAAAGTTTGGTCATTATGTCGGATTAAATGTCGGATTAAATGGGTACTGCTTCGCGATTGAACTCTCGATCGATGTCCGCAAATATCTCCTTGCGAACTTCAGTAGGGATGAGATCTTTATCCTCCCCTACTTGTTCAATGGTCTCCTGCCTAGCAACACTGCTATTTCTATCAGTTTTAGGCAGATGGGACAAAATTTGATGTCGCGTCCCCATTTTCGCTACCTCGCATCCCGATTATTTTTTAGTCCATTCAAATATCGTCCAGAGTGATGTATTTCACCAGGACTTTCCATAGTTTTCCCCGACGCATGAATAACTGTGCTAATCACAAAGGCACATCCAAGGCAAGTCCGACCGTGCATCGAGGAGTGGAAAGAAGCCAAGCAGCTGTCCCTGAAATGAAGATTTGTGCTTCTAAATGTGGAATCACTTTAGATAAAGACTTCTGAGCAAATCACGACTGAAACAAATAACAAGGAGACCTCACTCTGGACAGTGGCAAATCGTTTGCCATTACCATGTTATGACGTATTGGCCCCTAAATTCGCACTCACGTGGGTCAACATTTGAAACTTCGCTTGATTACAGAGAAAGGAGATGGAAACTTCCAAGTAATTTAACATGAGAAAGAAAATGCTTTGAGCTCTCTGCTTAATGAGGAGGCACTGTGCGGGAATATCACACAAATGATATGATTGCACACTTTGCACTGTTAAAGTACAGAAATGGCTCCGTTCTACACTTCGATATGTTTCTATGTTATCGGCAAGTAGAAGGAAAATTCAACGCCTCGTAAAGTGAAAAAAAATGGTATTGGATGCGTCACTGACGTCCTCCATAGGCCAGTTCTCAGTTCGAAGTTTTCTTGCGGGCTTGACGTCCCATCACTTCCAAATGAAAATTTCCAGGAATGCTCGAGTGTATCTGCCTCCTATCATCCAAACTTGAGCTCAGGAGGAATGATTACGCGTACGATGCTGGGCCGTGATTATGGAGGTCACAATTAAATTCTAGACCCCGATAATTTCACTTTTAGAACAAGTATTGGAAGCGCTTGCCTAGCCGTTTTCGTACATGTCTTTTCTTTTAACGACCCGTGGTCGGTCTCCAGGAGCACTTGATCGGAACGCTTGGACAGCTACTTTGCCAGCAACAGGATTGCTTCTGACACATTATCATACAGATAGCATGTGTGGAACACAGAAAGACATATGGTTT